AAAAAAAAAAAACGGTTGTTTCTTTCTTCCTTTTTCAGTCATTTTTTATCTTTTAGCTATCCACCTGACTTTAACTGCCAAAACTTTTTTCTGGCTATTTTCCGCATATATAGAGGTACATGCAAATACACAAATTTAAATGTATTTAGGTATATAATACAAATATACGCATACAGCACTCTCGCAGTTGGTAGTGTGATCCCGGAATCATCGGTGACATATCGTAAAAAAGAATGTTTTATTTTTTTCCTTTTACTTTTTTTATTCATTTCCTGATGTCTCTCCAATGATTTTTTGACACATTTGTCAAATATTTCACGCGACTTCAACCGGAATAATCTTTCACTATATTATACAGTGACAAATTCGTAACATTTTACTGCTCGTTAGCACTAGTAGTAGCGGGAGCAGTAGCCACACTCCGTGTACTTCCGTCTTTTCACTGCCAGGTTTCCGTTAATACCAACATTAGCAGCGGTAATTGGAGTCGTTGTCGTCGGTATAAATGTATCCTTTCGCAGCAGCAACTGCAATTCATCCATCCCACTGCAGATTTGTGCCTCAACTTGCAAATACTTTGGAACTGATGATTTTTTGACTCTGATTACCTCAAATTAAATTCTCTTGTACCGCTTGGGTTTTCCCCAGAATCCTCCCTTATTCTACATTTTCCGTGTGAAACAAACGGAGACAGAAACGCCCAATACGGCGTTTAACTGCACCGTGTAAAGAGAAAGTTGCTAGTATAAGCAAAATTTTTCCAGAAGAATTTTGGATGTCTCATACACATCACAGGAACGTCAAGAAAGTGTTAATTTTTTTCGTCTTCAAAAGAGTAGGAAAGAAGATGTGAGAAAAATGACGAGGGGAGGAAGAGATAAGAGTTTATTAACTTGTCGTTTAGAACGGTTGCTTTCAACCTAACGGGGTTTTGTCTCGTCTATTTGTCTTTTTCGCTTCTCGCAATAATCTGACCAATTAATATAGGGTGTCTTTTAAATTAAGTAATTGTTGTGAGTGTTACCTTTTTAGCTTGTTCAATGGTTATCAACTCTTATGCCAGTAATTGTTTACTTTTTTTTGTACACTAGAATCTACAGAATGTGTTTTGGAGAAAAAGCAGTTAGTTGAATTGTAACTGTTGTTGCCCGTTTGTTTGTGAATGATTTTTTGCTTTTAAATTTAGTTACTTTTAGCAGTTCAGACAAAAAACAAAAATGGCATTGCTCTTTTGTTCCTATCTGTTGCTGTTGCTGTTGCTGTTGCTGTTACTGTTACTGTTGCTGTTGCTACTGCTGTTGCTGTTGCTGTTGCCGTTGTTGTTGTTGTTGTTGTTATTGTTATTTCTGTTGTTGCCACTGTTGTTTCTTTGTTTGTTTGAACTCTTCGAAAATCCTCTGCGTTCTTACCACTTTTACTGTCTCAAGTAGTGGTCATGTTTGACTTCTGATTACTTAGCTGTTTCAAAAATCGGCATTTGCTCCCCATCAAAGTTCTTTGGGCTAGACTTCTGGAACAGCACCAACGACAGCAGAGAGAGAAGTAAAAAAAAAGAAGAAGACAACTCCTGTTTCTTTACCCGTTACCGCTGTTAGTTTGTTTGTTTGCGGTACCTTATCCAGCACCATCGATGGTGGTTACAGGGGGATATTGTTTGCCGTTGAGCAAACATGCCCTCGGTGACCAGCACAGCAGCTTGCCCCATCAATGTTGAACCCAGAGCGACAGGTTTCTATTCCAACGATAATTTCTTGGTTTCGTCGCATTTTTTTCTCCTCGGAGCTAAATGTGTAGTTTGCTCCGAATACTGACGATGGTAAAAAATTATGTTGCAAACTGAAGTCGCCAAAATTTTTCGGCTAAACTTTTGACCAGTTTTTACCAACGGATCCGATGTCTTTTCAGTGGGTTATAAATCCCTTACAAGCAACTGTATTAGTATCTCCAAATAGTTAACTGAGCAGCTTTAAGTGCTGGAAGACTTATTTGAACGTATGAAACCGATAGCGTTACTGTCGGAACTTGTCTGGTGATAGCGGTTGAAAAAAGCTGTTATTAGAGTTGCTATGTTAATTGTTTGTAGTACTTGCGATATGCGCCAAAATACTTGAGAGTTTTGGGATTTTTTTCAGTTTATCTTCTCAAAATAAAAAACATCATTTTCCGCTAAATTGATTGTACGCATCGTATACGGTTTGTCAGTTTAGACGTATATAACTGTCATCTCCTTCAATGACTGTCATAAAATCAGTCCCTGACTAATTGCTTTATTAGTTGTTTACAGTTTTTCATCGTACTTTTTTCTTAAATTTAAATTTTATTTTTGCTGCTTCTTATTTTGTGGCTGAGGCAAAAAAGGACAAATAGACAGTAGGGAGAGGGGTGATATTGGTTTGTTTTTTTTTGTTTGCCTGATTTCTATTTATTGGTAATGAATTTGTTGAAAATTTTTCGTGGTTAAATCAGATTCAAACTGATGGTGCTGATTCACTTTCACTGGATATCCAAGCTGGTGTCAACCGGAAACAGAAGCTCTGAAGTATCATTTGTTTGCTTTGGAGTTAATGTGACTTAAAAGTATTGATATATATGTCCTTTCGTCAGTCGAGTTACTTCTATTGCTCATTATAGTCTAGACTATATTAGTAAGCTGCAGTAGCGTTATTTCTGGATTTGTTTTATACATGAAATGCTTTTGAAAGAATTTATAAATGCCAAGAAAGAAAATGTTGATAATGAGATGGTGTTTGGTGAAGTTAAAGGGAAAATGTTTCTTTTATAGCGTCTTCTCAAAAAAATCTATTTGCTATTCTGATACGGTTTTTCATCAGTTTAGCAAACAGAACGGTATCCAGTTTAATTTTAATTTTTGCTCAATAACTTGTATTTGTTCTATTCAGTTTCGATCTGTGCTATTTTTTCTTCATATTTGTGCTCTCGTTGTTGCTGTTGTCTTTCATGACGGTATGTATTTATTCAAATACGAATACTTGAAAATATTTTTTTTACCTTTTTAATGTCATTTTCATGAATTAATTCTTTAAAAGGAAGTTTAGAGCAGAAGAAATTACCGTTTTCCTATTTTTTTTTGCAAAAAAGCTTTTTAGCAACGTTTTATTGTCATTTAACGTTTATGATATCTGTGTTAGAAAAAATTTTTTTGGCTTTATTTAAATTACACCAGTTTACCTCAGAGAGTCTTTCAAAATAACAGTTTTTGTTTGAGTTCGAAAGAAAAACAAAGAAAAAAATGAAGAAATGAAAATTTTTTCCAATATTCAAGTAGTTTGCTACTTAAAATGGGTAAATTTTTTTAGTGCTTTTCTTTTTCTTGGAGAGACGAAACTGCTGGGAGAGTTGTCGATTCTTATATAGTTGCCGGGTAGATTCATTATTTTTGCTTTCTGTCCTGTTCTTTTTTACCGTTTTTTAAACCTCTTTAAAATTTATCTTGTTGCTCGTACTTTGATGGTATCTGTTCATTTCTACAAGTAAACATTTTAAGTTTTATGTAGGAATTAGAAAATAAAAGAAAAAAAGAGTAAACAAGAGTATTCCCAATTGTTACGCAAGATTTCTGTGTTACATCCGTATATACAGAAAAAATGGCGAGCAGTAGGTAATATCCGGGCAATGTTTACCCTAAAAGTGAAAGAAACTGAAGGATATCTCAATTATTACAAAAATTCTTCGCAATAGAAATCAATAAGATTCATAAGATTAGACTGCATGCAGTAGATTTACATGACATTCTTTACTTTACTATTGGTTTACTTGAAATTTTTGCTGCACATGTGGTAGTTTTATTTGAACCTTCATTTTTTTAAATTTTATTTTTTACTATTTTTTTTGCTGTCCTTATATTAGTAACTTTTTGACATCTATACAGAACAAAGAGAGTAACGTTGGAGTGTTGGTGTTTAATGGAAAGCTGTTGAAAGTAACTATTAGAGGCTTCTTTTTCTCTTTTTCTTTTTTTCTTTTTCATTTCAGAACTATCGAACATTACCAAAAAAACAGCAAAAAGAGACGGTCATCAGTTGATGTTTTATAAAATAGCTAAAATAACACTAACAACGTCAACATCAACGGAACAACAGTGACTAAAAGAGCAACTACAACTGTTTAACAGTGATTTTTTGACTGAAGGTAGAACAAAGAATTTTCCTTCGGTACAATGGATATATTTGTCCTCTTACTGAGGTTTATTATTTGCACAACAGTGATAACTGCACAGTTATCAAATAATGTCGATACACCAGTGAAAATGCTTTCCCTTTATCCGCCAGTATTAAAGGTAATTTTTCTGACTGTATGACCTTTGATGAATTACGATACATTTGTTGGCTAATAAAAGAAAAAATTGAACAAAGAATATAACACCTAATTAGCTAATTAAACATAACTGTTTCTTCTTTGCTCTTTTAAAGAACTTATTCTTCCACTTAAACGAACCTACTTTTTGCCAGGTTTCGTCGTCGGAAGGCTTTATACCTGAATCTGCTGAAATGGGAACGACTGTACGTACATCACCGTCGCTGCATTCAGAATCTTTACAAATTCTTGTACAAGATGGTGATCTGGTCAGTTGATTTTAAAATTTGTTATTATAATGGCTGATCATCTACCGTTTCTTATTCCGATATTTTCTTTCTTTATATTTTCTCTTTTCTTTCGTTCTTTTTAACAAAATTTTTTTGAACTGTGGCCACTGAACTGTTTTATTACTGTCATTAATGACCGGATGATATCAATTTGAGAAACGATTTTTGGTAAATATTGAGAGTGTAAAATGGCGTTTATTTTTTCTGCAGCTTTTGATTTATTTTATTTTGAACTGTTTTTTGACATCAACTCTCAAATTACTGTTGATATCAATGGGAAACCTTCTTCTTATTACCTAATCTTTTTATGAAGAAGGAGAGCTGATACAGCGGTGTTGTTTTTTCCTTCTTGTATTCTTAAACTGTTCTTTCTGTTTTATTTCTTTCATTTCACGATAAACGAAAAGGCTCATTCATAAGAGTAATAATTTAGCGATGAAGTTGTATGAAACTTTAAGATTTGATGAAGCACTTTTTCTGATTTACAGTGTGCTTGCCATACTTTTCAAATGCTCTCACGTTTGAAGGTAATATTCTGTTAAAAACACAGCTGTTTTTCCCCGTCATATAACTTGTCTTGTTTGCTTCAGCTATTCTTTACCCAACAGGCTTTGAAAAAATTTTATTATTTTTAAATTATAAACTCAGTTATCATTGCTGTTGTCATTTTTGGCCAGCAATTTCTCCCTTTGCTCACTTACCACTCGTTACTGTTCGACGACAAAAACTGAAGAGTAAGGCTTAGCAGGGAAAGTTTAAGTCATTTTTTGGCGTTATTTTGATGTTTTTTCCTGGAATCACTGTTTTTTGGGCATCGAAAAGACAGCATTACTTTGACTGCTTGAATTAAAGTTTAAATGAAGTGCTTTTTTCGTTATGAATTTTTTTTGTCAAAGAAAAGAACATTGTTTTGAATATTTATTTGAAATAAAAGAAGGAACAGTTTCGTTGACCGCTGTGTTTTGTGCTTCACCGTTAATAACACAACTTGCCTTAGCTGTATATCAACGAATAGATGGAACCTGGAATGTAGATTCCAGGCCGGTTTGCATGACAAAAAAGTGTGCTGCACGACAGGTTTATTCATTCCTGGCTTATAACAGCAGCACCAGCAGCAGGAAAATAGTTTATTTTTTTATTGTTTTAAAATAAATTTTCAGTAATGCTTTTTTTTCAAATTCAAACCTTAAAATTTGAATTGCTACTTGCTAAAATGTGCCAGCGTTAATCAATTTATTTTGTTGCAAGCTTTAATCTTTTTGACAGCAAAAAAAAAGAAGAAATGTTCCAATTTATTTACTTTTTCTTGTTTTTATCATCATTTTA